TGATGGCTTTGAAATAAAACCAATAACTGTTGCAGGGCTTCCTGCTTGCCTGAACTAAGAGGTGAACCGGTATATGAATGAACGTGAAAAGATGTATTGCGTATACGTTTTAAGAATTTGCCATGAAAGATTATTATCCTTAAATAAGTATCAACAGGGAAGAAGAGGAGACCCTGGAACTAAGGGATGACCAGGTCCTGGTGGCCAAAACGAGAGATGGTAAGTTTCAGACGGATGTATTGAATGACGAGGTCGATGCGTTTACGTATGTAAACTAATGTTACGGTGATGGCTCTGAAGTAAAACCAATAACTGTTGCAGGGCTTCCTGCTTGCCTGAATTAAGAGGCAAACCAGTACATTGAACGAAAGTGGGAAGATATATTGCATATATGTTTTAAGAATTTGCCATGAAAGATTATTTATCGTTAAATATTAACGGGGAAGGAGAGGAGACCCTGGAACTAAGGGATGACCAGGTCCGGATGGGCCAAAACGAAAGATGGTAAGTTTCAGATGGATGTATTAAATGGCGAGGTCGATGCGTATGAGTCTGTAAACTATTGCTACGATGATGACTGAAATATAACTATTAGCCATTGCAAGGCTTACTGCTTGCCTGGACGAAGAAGTGAATCGGTATTTTGAATGAACTAAAAAGAAATATGTTGCGTATACGATTTTTAAGAATTTGCCATGAAAGATTATTTATCATTAAATATTAACGGGGAAGGCGAGGAGACCCTGGAACGAGGGGACGACCGGGTCCCGATGGGCCGAAACGAGAGATGGTAAGTTCGGACGGATGTATTGAATGGCAATGTCAATGCGTATGAGTAAACTAATGTCACGCTGATAACTCTAAAATAAAACTACTAACTGTTGCAGCAATAAGAGGCGAACCAGTATTTGAACGAACATAAAAAGATATATTACGTCTAGGTTTTAAGAGTAAGTCATGAAAGATTAATTTATAGTTAAAAGGTTAAGCGTGCGGAATTAAATTGCGATGTCCACGTAATGAGAGACGGAAATCTGGCGTCTGAGAGTGGTGACACGGGGATGATAGGAAGGATTGGCCGTGCTGGAGGTAATGCGGAGGCTGGATCGAAATTATTGTGTATGGACGATGGGTGGGAAAGCCCACGATTGAGCTACATTGGACCTGTGGGGAAAAAAGGAGGTGTGTTAAGGAAGAGAAACATACATATGAATAAACAGGAGTAGAATAAGGGTTTTGTGGCTGGGAGCGTGCCCAGAAATACATGGATTGTATTTGTGGGCACGCTCTGGGCGCCTGAGAAGGTTGGTATAGGAATGGGAGGAGCGGAGGCAGCCGAAGAAGACGGAACAAGGAAGTTAGAAATGAGAGAAGGGAAAAGATGCTGGGATGTAGGGATGCCTGTGCTCAGGTTGTTTGTGAAGACGAAATGGTAGGTACTGGGTTTGATACTACCTGGCCCTCTGAGAGGGCTGATGAGGAAGGCTGGGCCGTGGGATGCACCGTGACGTCATCGGCGTTGCCAAGGACGCGACGCCGTGAACCCGGAAGCGGCGGCGAAGCTTGGAGCGGAAGTATGGCGTTTTCCGTAGTTTATGGCCGAGGGACGGCCAGAGAAACGGCGAGGTGAAGTCAGGTCGCGGTAGCTTCGCCCGAGGCTGCTGGCAGGAGGGAGGTCGGTCGGACGCCGGAGAACTTCCCTGGACCTGTTGGGCGGCGAAGGCCCGATGGTGTTGGAGCTGTCGGTGGATGAAGGCTGGGAGTGTCGGAGCACGTGGATTGTTGAGCGGGGCCGCGGTGGCTGACGAGAAGGAATGGTAGGCGAGGAAGAGGACTCAGAGATTTCGTGAGTTTGTCATCCGTCTTCAAACATGTTGCTGTCTGAAGAGTTGAGCGTGAGCTTGTACTCCGTGGTTGTCTGACGCCGATCATGTGGGAAATGAGTCAAGGAGGAAGTGAACGGATAAGGTATGCTTAAGTAAGTTTTGAGCGGAAATTAGATGATTGCAGGGCGTGGTCTTTGTTCCCGAACCTAGTTATGAAACATCATATAGTGGATGCTATCTTTTCACTCTCCACTCGAGGGGTTGTTGCTATGGCGATTCGCTCTTGAGCAGCCGCCTGTATTTGAACCTCATTCGAATCCGTCTCCACAAGTGTTATTTGCGTGTTACGTTTACATCGAGTACTGGATATGGCATGTACTGAAAAGATGAATCAAGATAACTACATGTATATTCCCCTAAATCTTCTTGGCTAACATTATGCATACAAAGTAAACAGTCTTCTAGAACCTTTACCCACTTTCTTTCATTCAGTAAAAATACTTCCTCTGATCGAAAGACACATCATCTACCTCAAGTCCCTTTGTGACTATTTTCTACCCTGATTGTCTTTCCACACAGGAGGACTACTATCACCATTATTCCACCTAATACATTAACATGCAAGCAGAACCCAATCTCCTAACTTTGCTCCAACTATAGTCTCCAAATCGCTTGGATCTGACCTTTCAGACTGGTCTTGGCCTTCTCGGTCTACTTGAACCTCTAGGTTCTCTTGGAGGAACATCACATTTCTCTGGAGCCTCTGATAGAACAATTTCCACCTGACGTTATTCTTCAAACAGATTGTACACCTTCTTATGACATCATCAATTTTGCATCTTTTCATCATTTCAGATCAGCCAGGTGGCTTTTATGACACCTACTGCCCCCAGCAGCACACTCTTGAAGTATACACAATGTATAGTTTTTACTTTCTTCACTCATATGCCCCCATAGTCGTTAGTGGGAATTTTATTTCTCTTTTCCCAAAGCCTCACCAAAAAAAACTTCCTCTATCGTGGTGTATTATCCACTAGGCATCACAGTCATTTCCACTCTTTTCTTAGTTACTTCTCTTATATTTAATCCCCATTTCTAGTTATCCTTTTTTATCTGTATTTTTCCTATTTGAGTCGTTTAATTGTTTTTTCCTATTTAATTCTTCTTCTATCTTTTTCTTTTGCTTTAATGGTTTCGGCAAAACCTGAAACCACGTTCCAACACCTCATTTGGCTTTACATCAACATAGGCTTAGAAACTCCCATCATCTTTTATAGGAGTCATTATGCAACTACACCAGTTCCTACTCAGGAACTACACAGACCCAGGAGTGGTTATGACTGGTTCCATCCCCCCCTTTCACTCCTCTTTTTAACATATAAACCACATTTATGACACAGATAAACATCAATACAGAACAAATGCACAAACCAACACAAAACATAAAACACAGGTCCTAATTTGAAGCTTCCTAATTTTTACTATAGTCTATTTTCTCTCTTTTTAGACTTTTAGGCTTTACTCTCTCTCTTTTAACTCGTATTGTCTTTTTTACTTGTTCACTTGTTTTTACTCTAATCTGCAAACTTTTACTCTTCTCTTCTATCTTCTCTTTTATCCAACTAAAGGAATATTACTGCTATGAGAATTGCTCTATTCCCAACTGTCATCTATTCTCCTTCCATGACTGCAGACATTGGTCTAGCTGTCGTTTTACCTAAACATATGAAAACAACCATAAACATATGAAAACATAAATGCAAATGTTTCTTACATTCTCTGAAATAGGTCCTGCTGTCTCTGAGACGTACTGAAACTCAATGTCACCAAATCTCCTTTTAACACCAAATTGCAACTTAATTTCTTCTACCTTACCCATTAAGTCTGCTATACCCATACAAATACGCACAAATTATCCTCACTGATCTCTCCACATCTCTACAAAATCATAACGTCCTTCTAGGGGGTCATGAGTTTTAACAAACTTGAAAACGTTAGATTTTTATTTTTTATTTAGAAAATGTCCTCTCTAAAGAAGCTCATATGTTTTTAACCGTAATGAACCGAATATCTTTCCTTACAAATGACTAAATCTCCAGTTCTCAACCAAACCATATATATATATATATATATATATATCTAATATAAAATCTTATCATGACATAAGTCACGCATATCAACCACAAGTGTAACACCTGTAGTTCCTTACTCCCCCCAGGGTGTCCTGACTCCATCCTGTGTTCCTCTAATCCAAGTCTACAGGAGGACGGACTGGTCCCTGAGGCCTCTGGTTACTGGTTGAGGGTGAGTCCCCCATATAAACCTGCCGTGTCGTGGGATAAATCTCTGTTTTCAACCCCAGAGGAGAAGGCCTCCAGTTGATCCCACTCTCTATGATCTCTTCTAACCTCTGACACTCTCCAGTTTAAAGGATATCACACATACAGAAAGGCAGTTCTCGTCATATATGACCTCTGTACAATGAACATATACAGATATCAAACATTTCTGATGCCCACCAACATACAGCCGACAAAGTTCAAGTTTAATCAGTGCAATCTAAAGACATTCATGATTAAAAGTTGTGCTTTTTACAACACTGGTCATTGTGTGGAATTTCAACGACTCGCCGTGAAAGAGGGAGTTGTCATAACTTCAGTGTACATGATCCGATCGTAATGAAACTTTACATGTTTGATAAGAGTCCTGCCCTGAACACGTCTATGTGATAATATTCACTAATAGTGAGAGCGCCACCTAGTGGTGAAAGGAAATGTCATTTTAAAGTTTTTCTCAGTCGCTTTGGTACATTTCTCGAATCATCCTCGACACTTGCAAAACAGTAAGTGCATTTCTCAAAACAATTCGTACAAATAGCAAAACACCATCGATTACCTGCAAAGGCCACTCTCTTGCTCAAAAAAATCCTTAGTTCATCTCTCAAAAGTAAATATCCGTGTCAATGAAAATGTCAGTGCCATCAGAATGACAAGTCCTTGTGTCATTGTGTACGGATAAGACAGTCAAATTGCTTAGTCATGTTGTCAATATAACAGTGTACTCTGGAGGGATGTTCTGATGTAAACTATTGCTAAAGTTTTGACGACAATTATTGTAAATTGTAGGTTACACCTTAGTGTATGTGGGAGTTTGATTGCAAGACACTGGACAAGATTCACATTTACGTTTTTACTGTTTGTACATGTCATTGTGATACAGAAAGGAAAAGACAGCACTGCATAGCACAAAGAAAAAAACAAAAAAAAACAAAAGTAGAAATGTCTCCTGTACATGCAGTGCTGTAGAAATTACAGTGCAGTCTTCCTACACCTCCTGATGTTCTTGTCTGTTGGGCCACAAATTCTCATCCACATCATAACGAATATCTTCTCTTGCGATGCAGCGTGGAAAGAATCTTTTAGAGCGTCTTATCCAGCCTCTGCAGGCATCTGCTGTGATGTCATCACACGCCGCATCCATGGCAGCCAGAAGGGTCGTCTGTGTATGTGGCTGGCGATCATATACTTTCCATGATTGAGAACATGGTCTACAAGCTCTTATCTCATCAGGAACGCGCATATGTCCTCGGCCTCTTCTGCCTCTTCCTCTGTTTTGCCTCCCAACTCCTCCGCCACGCAGCCTCACTCTTCTTCCTCTTCTTCTTCTCTCTGGCTGTTGACCCCGTCCAATTCTTTGTCCTTCCATTGTCAGAAATTGTAACATGGTGTTGTGCTCCGGCTATATATATACTTGCCAGTTGACTGATTCGTTAGAGAAAGTCAAGATTCACCTGGGAGCAATTTACCAATTCAGGACAGATTTAGAAAAAAAGTCTAATGGAAATGTATAAAAATATGCGTGTTCAACCATTTTGCATGTAAAGACTTATGCTATGAACTAATGCCTAAATGTTGTGGGGGGTGAGACTATTCAACAGAGACCCATTATAATACATTTTGATCAACATTTAATTCAATTTTTCAATTCAATTTTATTTGTATAGCACCAATTCATAACAGAAGTTATCTCAGGACACTTTTCAAATAGAGCAGGTCTAGACCGAACTCTTTAACATTAATTACAGAGACCCAACAGTTCCACCATGAGCAAGACCTTGGAGACAAGGGCAAGGAAAAACTGCCTGTTAAAAGGCAGAAACCTAGGACAGATCCTTCGGCTCTAGGTGGGTGGTCGTCTGTCTCGACCAGTTGGGGTGAGAGAGAGAGAGAGAGAGAGAGAGAGAGAGAGAGAGAGAGAGAGAGACAGACAGACAGACAGACAGTAGCACAGCAACAATGAACTGAATTGATGATGAATTTAGTTTGTTCAAATCAAAGCCACTCTTTACACCTTGGAACTATTTTTACACAGATGCTGAATTTGATCCTGAAAGACTCTTGTTTGACATTTGAACAGGCAACAAAGTTCAGTTTTAGACTCAAAGTTGAATATTTGTTCACACTTTAATATTTGAGTCATAAAAACTCTTTCCCTCTAACTGTGCTTTCAAAAAGAAGAAGATTTGAAATACAAGCAGCCACATTTGATCCTAAAAATGTTCATTTTTCTCAGAGTTATAGAAGAAGATCAATTCTTTCTATCATTTCTTTCATCTCTATGTCTGCAGGCTGCACATTACCCTCACACATGATCCCTTCATCCCAGCATCCTTTGCTCTTCTCTTCCTTCAGCCTCCTCTTCCTCCTCTATTACAGTAAACACATCAGGTTGGTACCAACTAACATCAGCTGTGTGTGATCCTGTACAGACTGAACTATCTGGTCAACAGTGAGAAAGTTTCTCTCTCCCTCCTACAGAGGACACAGAGACACTGAGGAACTGTAAGACCCGAACCAGAACCCAGGATGAAGAGGTTCAGTGAATGTGGTGTTGAAGGTGTGGAGGTGGATCAGTGTGTCAGAGGAGACTCTGTAGAAGGACAGAGTGCCAGCAGGACAGTCCACATACACTGCTACTCTACCAGAGGAGGAGGAGGAGGAGGAGGAGGAGGAGGAGGAGATGAATGTTTCTCTGTTATTGTGACAGACAGAGTAACCACCATCAGAGTACTCCAGTCTCCAGGACTGATCATTCCTTCCAAATAAACAGTCTTCACTGTTTTCTCTCCTGCTGATTCCTCTGTAACTTACTGATATATAAACTCTTCCTCTCCACTCGACCTCCCAGTAACAGCGACCAGTCAGACCATTTCTACACAGCAGCTGAGGCCAGTCAAATCTGTCTGGATGATCAGGATATGACTGATCCTCCTCCACATGAATCATCTTCCTGTTGTTGTCAGACAGTTTGATGTTTCTGCTCACTGTGTTTGTGTCGACTGTGAGTTCACAGGAATCTGATGGAGAGAACAAGACACAATACAGCTGCAGTTATTGATCTATCATCTGATCATTGATTGACACTTTGATGATGACATCAGAGCTGTGAATGAGTGATGTCACAGTGTGAAGATGGTTGAATGTGTGCTGCTTTGTTTTCACACTTACACTTCCTCAGACCTGGTCTCAACCATCGGACTCCAGCAGGCTCCACCCTGAAAGGAGGAGGGGGGTCAGAGCAGCATGGAAACATGGACATTACATCACTCTCATACACAGAGCTTATTCTCTACAAATGGACTTACATCTTCACATGGAGCACTTATTATTAATCAGCTGATAGTCTTTCAGTTCAGTGGAGCTTCTTCTGATTGGCCGATGGCTACAGCTCATTATGTTCACTTATTGATGATATATTATTATTATCAGTATTATATTGATGATCATCATAAAGTTCAGACTCAGTTTCCTCTACCAGTCAGTCAGTAAATGAAATGATTATAAACTGAACCCCAAGTGGACAAAGAATTCAGTTGATGCAGGTTTAAAGTAGTTGTGTCTAATGTAACCAGGTTGAAAGTATATCTTTATTTTCTTTGATTGAAACAAAGTCCTGACTAATATCCAAGAATCTGAGTTTGATGAAGTTCATAACATGTTTTATACATTTGAACAGTATATTTGAACTTTAGTGTTAATACCTGTACTGTCACTTTAAGAGTCTGTGCTTTGCTAACTAGTTCACACTGTGAACAGATTAGAGCTCAAACTGGCTGTGTGATCAGGTCTCTGTCCTCTAAAGCTGTTCTAGTCAATGAATTAATATCAGATTATGATACTGATTTACTGTCTTACTGAGACCTGGCTGTGCCATGAAGAGTATGTTAGCCTAGCTACTTGTGGTTCCTATAGTCTCTAAAAAGTAGAACAGGAGCCAGAGCCTTCAGTTACCAAGCTCCTCTCCTGTGGAACCAGCTTCCAGTTGTGGTTCGGGAGGCAGACACCCTCACCACATTCAAGAGTAGGCTTAACGCATTCCTCTTTGATAAAGCTTATAGTTAGGGCTGGATCAGGTGAGTCCTGAACCATCCATTATTATTATCATTATAATCATTATTATAGTTACTATTATTATTGCGCATCGTTGTTGTTGTTGTTGTCATCATCCTCTTCAGGTTAATCATCGTCATCAGTCATTTCTATAAGTATAGTTGTTGCTGTGCACCTTTGTCTCTGACCTTCTCTACCATCAATCCTCCCTGTCTGTCTTTTCTGTCTGTCTCTCTGTCTCTCTCTCTCTCTCTCTTTCAGGGCGGAAAAGGAAGTTTTTCCTTGCCGATGTCTCCAAGGTCTTGCTCATGGTGGGAACTGTTGGGTCTCTGTCAATAATGTTATAAGGAGTTCGGTCTAGACCTGCTCTATTTGAAAACTGTCCTGAGATAACTTCTGTCATGAATTGGTGACGTACAAATAAAACTGAACTGAACTGAACTGAATTGTAGTTTAGGTGACGCCTTTAGTTTTTCTGGACTAAAAGGTAACACACGCTGATGGCAGATGACATCCATCAAAATATCCCAAACTATTTATGATATGAGCCCACAAACCTGCAGCGTGACAACATTGACAAATATCAACCCGCCATGATGCTCACCAACCCATCAGGATAAACCACTGTCCTATTTTCCAATGTTGAAACAAGACATCGGTCCAGAAAAACAGAAATTTCATCACCTTTCCTCTGTCACCTGACTACTACTACTGTATTGATCCGCCTCATACCTGAGAGTGTCCAGTCTCCAGTGTGGATCCTCCAGCCCAGCAGACAGCTTTGTTGCTGAGTCTCCTGGATGATTGTAGCTCAGGTCCAGCTCTCTCAGATGGGAGGGGTTGGAGCTCAGAGCTGAGACCAGAGAAGCACAACCTTCCTCTGTGATCAGACAGCCTGACAGCCTGCAAACACACAGAACAACACATTACATAATAAACATGTTCAAGGAAAGAGACTCAAACTAAATAAACAAAAGAATGATTTAAGACAATGTTAGGAAGATTACAATTGTATCCATCAACATAATTCAGGTTTAAAGTGGTTATCAGTTGAACAGGTTGACGAATCCTGACCTGAGAGTTTCCAGTTTACAGTGTGGACTCTTCAGTCCAACAGAAAGCAGCTTCAGTCCTGAATCCTGCAGGTTGTTGTTACTCAGGTCCAGCTCTCTCAGACTAGAGGACTGGGAGCTGAGAACTGAGGACAGAGCTTCACAGCTTCTCTCTGAGAGGTTACAGTCACTCAGTCTGTAGAGACAATGATCAACAATAAGAAAAATAACATTTGTGACCAGCACTTTATCACTCAGCCAAAACCAAAAACACTTTAAATTAGTTCTGTAAAAATGATATCAGCGAGTGAGGAGCAGTGATGGGAATAACGGCGTTACTTTTTTCAGTAACGAGTAATCTAATTGATTACTCTTCCCATCTTAATAACGCCGTTACCGTTACTACCAAAAAAGGCGGCGCCTTACCATAAGCTGTTTCTTTCATCAGACCAACTAGATCTCTGAGCTGAGAGGCAGGACTTTTTTTTTTTTACTGTTCTTCTTTAGTTAGTGGGCAGTGAATGAGACAAGCGCATAAATGCTGACGATTGGCTGAGGTTGAGTAAAATTTCATGGTAAACCAATCAAAGGTAGAGTTGGGCGGGTGTTTGAAAGCACGCATAGTCGGACACAAAACGAACAACACAAGCGAGTCAGTCAACGAGAGAAAGGTATGGCGAGCCCAAATAATAGGCTATTTGTTATTTATTTTTGGTATAGTGCTTAACAAGCATAATTTAATTTTGCCCAGTTGTGGCCTGTTGAGGGCCAATAAATATCAAAAGTTCCAAAACATCTATTGTGTTATTTGTATCGATCCACTATATAAACATAATATCTACATACATGGCATTTGATTGGAGGCTAGTTTAGATTTGTGTACATTTTCGTTTCTGTTAATGATGTATTGTATTAAGTGTCCATTTCATTATAATATTCAGATTTATCATAAATAATTGAACATGTATTTTGAGTTCCGTTAAAGAGGGGGTCACATTTGAGCATTTAAAAACTTGTTTGAAAGTAAACGTTATTTCTTGAAGTAACTAGTTACTTTTATAATTTGTAACTGAGTAAGTAATTTAGTTACTTTTTGGAAGAAGTAGCTAATTACTTTTTAAAAGTAACTTGCCCAACACTGGTGAGGAGTTCCCAACGTTGGTGATATATAATGTCTTTATAATCTCTCTAAGTCAAAAAGATAGCAGAATATTTAAGTGATCATACAGAAATCCAACTCTGTCTGTACTTACAGAGCTTTGTTGGAGGCTTTGACCACTGGCAGCAGCCTCAGAAGAGCCTCCTCTGAGGAGTATTTCTTCAGGTCAAACACGTCCAGATCTTTTCCTGATGACAGTAAGATGAAGACCAGAGCTGACCACTGAGCAGTAGACAGTTTATCTGTGGAGAGACTTCCTGAACTCAGGGACTGTTGGATCTGATCCACTAGAGAACGATCATTCAGTTCATTCAGACAGTGGAACAGATTGATGCTTCTCTCTGCAGAGAGATTCTTACTGATCTTCTTCTTGATGTACTGGACTGTCTGCTGATTGGTCTCTGAGCTACTTCCTGTCTGTGTCAGCAGACCTTGTAGGAGAGTCTGATTGGTCGGCAGTGAAAGACCCAGGAGGAAGCGGAGGAACAAGTCCAGGTATCCTTGTTGACTCTCTAAGGCCTTGTCCACAGCACTCTGGTGGAGATATTCTAGTTTAGGTTTGTCTTTGAAGACCTTAGACAACCAGGATGTTGTTTGTTGTTCTGCCAGCAGATTGACTCCAGAGTTGATGAATGTCAGATGGACATGAAGAGCAGCCAGAAACTCCTGAACACTCAGATGGACGAAGCAGAAGACCTTGTCCTGGTACAGTCCACTCTCCTCTTTAAAGATCTGTGTGAACACTCCTGAGTACACTGAGGCTGCTCTGATATTGATGCCACACTCTGTCAGGTCTGATTCATAGAAGATCAGGTTGCCTTTCTGCAGCTGCTCAAAAGCCAGTTTTCCCAGAGACTCAATCATCTTCCTGTTCTCTGGACTCCAGTGTGGATCTGTCTCAGCTCCTCCATCATACTTGATGGTCTTCACTTTGGACTGAACCACCAAGAAGTGGATGTACATCTCTGTCAGGGTCTTGGGCAGCTCTCCTCCCCCTCTGGTCTTCAACACATCCTCCAGAACTGTAGCAGTGATCCAGCAGAAGACTGGGATGTGGCACATGATGTGGACACTTTGTGATGTTTTGATGTGGGAGATGATTCTGCTGGCCTGCTCCTGATCTCTGAACCTCTTCCTGAAGTAGTCCTCCTTCTGTGGGTCAGTGAACCCTCTGACCTCTGTCACCATGTCAACACACCCAGGAGGGATTTGATTGGCTGCTGCAGGTCGTGAGGTTATCCAGAGGCGAGCAGTGGGAAGCAGTTTCCCCCTGATGAGGTTTGTCAGCAGCACATCCACTGAGGTGGACTCTGTAACATCAGTCAGGATCTCAGTGTTGTGGAAGTCCAGAGGAAGTCGACACTCATCCAGACCGTCAAAGATGAACACAACCTGGAACTCTTCAAACCTGCAGATTCCTGCTTCTTTGGTTTCAGTAAAGAAGTGATGAACAAGTTCCACCAAGCTGTACCTTTTCTCTTTCAGCACATTCAGCTCTCTGAAAGTGAATGGAAATGTGAACTGTATGTCCTGGTTGGCTTTGTCTTCAGCCCAGTCCAGAGTGAACTTCTGTGTTAAGACTGTTTTCCCAATGCCAGCCACTCCCTTTGTCATCACTGTTCTGATTGGTTCATCTCTTCCAGGTGAGGGTTTAAAGATGTCTTCTTGTCTGATTGTTGTTTCTGGTCTATCTGGTTTCCTGGATGCTGTTTCAATCTGTTTGACCTCATGTTCATCATTGACCTCTGCATTCCCTCCCTCTGTGATGTAGAGCTCTGTGTAGATCTGGTTCAGAAGGGTTGGGTTTCCTGCTTTAGCAATCCCCTCAAACACACACTGGAACTTCTTCTTCAGGTTAGATTTAAGTTCACGCTGACAAACTCCAACAAGATGTTCTTAATGAAGACACAGAAAATATGATCATTAAGTGATTGATAAACAAAATATGACAATTTAATTCCCCTAAAGCAGAAAAATGTTCAGCTCAGATAGAAAATATCTATTTTGTTTCTCACTGAGACCAAAAGTTATGGAGCTAATTTATTGCCACCAGTCATTTCAGTGAGTGGAAGTGGTTGTTGCCCACATCCAAGCACACAGATTTTGCCCTGCTGCATTTCTCTGTGTTAAACTGTTGGCGGCACACACCTGGCGGCAGCCGCTATTAAGGAACCATGTTTTCTGTGAACCCTTGTGCAGTCAGGTGGCGGTGTGAAACCTTCCTTTAAAAAAATACATCACAAATTGCCATAACATTTTATAAACTACTGAAACAGAAGTTAGCAACACATCAGCCAGAAGAAAAGGAGTGGTCTCTCTCTGTATATTTAAATAAAATATGATTCTTTTGAAATTTTCAATACAATGAATTATCATGGCATTGTTATGCATTTTAATTTGTGAGTTGTGACCAATTTTGGTTTTAAAGAATGAGTATGTGAATATAATTTGGTCCGTCTGTTGAGACATCAGTAAATGTCTCATTTATCCAGCGAGTTAAATCTTTAGAGAAATCCTCTTACTGCTCTGCAGACAGTCAGCCAGCTCCTCCTGCTTCATTCTCCTCAGGAAGTGCACTGTGATCTTCAGAAATGCCTCTCTGCTGCTCCTCCTCTGCTCATCATCCTCACTTTCCAACACTTCCTCATCCTCCCTCTGACTCTCTGAGCATTCTGGGTAATCTACACTCAGAACCTTCTGGATCTTCTTCAGCTCGTTCTTCACAAAAGTGACAATGTTGTCCTCCAGCAGCTGGAACAGAATATTATATGAATGACTCAATCAAAGTCAAATCATGGAAGCAAACATCAGATCCATGTTGGACAGACTGACAATCCACTGGTCTAAAAAGTGCAGCATGGAGATTATTGTGAACACAATAGATGTAAAAGTAGTTGTTGTCCATGTACAGACCATAAATATGGAGTCCAGGTGTGTTTGATGCTGCTGGGCAGACTGACCACTGGGAACCTCTGAGCTCTCCTGGTCCACTCTGTGGAGGAATCATGAAGAATGAGCTCACATTATTCAATTCAATTCAATTCAATTTTATTTGTATAGCGCCAATTCATAACAGAAGTTATCTCAGGACACTTTTCAAATAGAGCAGGTCTAGACCGAACTCTTTAACATTAATTACAGAGACCCAACAGTACCACCATGAGCAAGCACTTGGCGACAAGGGCAAGGAAAAACTGCCTGTTAAAAGGCAGAAACCTAGGACAGATCCTCCGGCTCTAGGTGGGTGGTCGTCTGTCTCGACCAGTTGGGGTGAGAGAGAGAGAGAGAGAGAGAGAGAGAGAGAGAGAGAGCGACAGACAGACAGACAGACGCACAGCAACAACAGTATTGGCAATGGCAGTCAAGCAGGACCATGGCAGGATGCTCCACCAGGATCCACGAGAACCTGCGAGACGAGAAAGCACAAGAACTCCGGGGAAGAAGTGGAGTTAGTAACATGCATTAAAGGGACATGAATGAGTGCAGAAAGAGAGAGGAAGAGAGTAGCTCAGTGCACCATGGGAAATCCCCCGATAGTCTAGGCCTATAGCAGCATAACTAAGGGATGGTTCAGGACTCACCTGATCCAGCCCTAACTATAAGCTTTATCAAAGAGGAATGTCTTAAGCCTACTCTTGAATGTGGTGAGGGTGTCTGCCTCCCGAACCACAACTGGAAGCTGGTTCCACAGGAGAGGAGCTTGGTAACTGAAGGCTCTGGCTCCTGTTCTACTTTTTAGAGACTATAGGAACCACAAGTAGCCCAGCATTCAGAGAACGTAGTGTTCTAGTGGGGTAATAGGGTACTATGAGCTCTTTAAGATATGAAGGGGCCTGACCATGAAGAGCTTTATAGGTGAGGAGGAGTATTTTAAATTCAATTCTACATTTTATAGGGAGCCAATGCAGAGTAGCTAGTACAGGAGAGATGTGATCTCTTTTTCTAGTTCCTGTCAGTACTCGTGCTGCAGCGTTCTGAATTAATTGGAGCGTTTTAATGGACTTATTGGGGCAACCTGATAATAAAGAGTTGCAGTAATCCAGCCTTGAAGTAACAAATGCATGGATTAGTTTTTCTGCATCTGTCTGTGATAGTATGTGTCTAATTTTTCTAATATTACGTAAATGAAAGAAGGCAGTCCTAGAGGTCTGCTTTATGTGGGAGTTAAATGACAAATCCTGATCAAAGATAACTCCAAGATTCCTGACAGTGGTGCTAGAGGCCAAGTTAATGCCATCTAGAGTGACTATATCTTTAGACAATGAGTCTCTAAGGTTTTTGGGGCCAAGAACAAGAATTTCGTTTTTTCTGAGTTTAACATCAGAAAATTGCAGGTCATCCAGGATTTTATGTCCTTAAGACATGTTTGTAATTTAGATAATTGATTAATTTCATTGGGTTTGATTGATAGATATAACTGCGTATCATCTGCATAACAGTGAAAGTTAATGGAGTGATTCCTAATAATGTTGCCTAAAGGGAGCATATATAAAGTAAATAGTATTGGTCCAAGTACAGAACCTTGTGGAACTCCATGACTAACTTTAGTATTTATGGAGGATTCATCGTTAACATGTACAAACTGAGAACGATCTGATAAGTATGACTTAAACCAGGTTAGGGCAGTTCCTTTAATGCCAATTTGATGCTCAAGTCTCTGTAAAAGAATATCATGGTCAATGGTGTCAAATGCAGCACTAAGATCTAATAATACAAGTACAGAGACAAGTCCATTGTCAGAAGCAATCAGAAGGTCATTATTAACTTTAACCAGAGCTGTCTCTGTGCTATGATGAACTCTAAATCCTGACTGAAAATCCTCAAATAAACTATTGTTATGTAGAAAGTCACACAACTCTTTGGCGACTACTTTCTCCAGAATCTTAGAGAGGAACGGGAGGTTAGAAATCGGTCTATAGTTGGCTAAAACCCCTGGGTCAAGAGTAGACTTTTTAAGAAGGGGTTTAATTACAGCTACTTTAAAGGACTGTGGTACATATCCTGATAATAAAGAAAGATTAATCATATCCAGTAAAGAAGTGCCAATTAAGGGAACAACTTCTTTAGGCAGCCTAGTTGGGATCGGGTCTAACAGACAGGTTGATGGCTTCGATGAAGAAATGATTGAAGTTAACTGATGAAGATCGATAGCAGAAAAACAGTCTAAATATACATCTAAGTTTACATTGACAGAAGTCCCTGAACTTGGAGAGCCACTGATAACTGTTGATGGCAGTTGGTGATTAATTTTTTCTCTAATAGTAATAATTTTATTATAGAAGAAGCTCATGAAGTCATTGCTACTTAAGTTTATGGGGATATGTGGCTCGATAGAGCTGTGACTCTCTGTCAGCCTGGCTACAGTGCTGAAGAGGAACCTAGGGTTGTTCTTATTTTCTTCTATTAGTGCTGAGTAATAGGCTCCTCTGGCATTACGGAGGGCCTTTCTATAAATCTTAAGATCATCTTGCCAATTTGAGCGATATTCTGATAATTTGGAAGAGCGCCATTTCCTTTCAGATTTCCTAGCTATTTGCTTTAACTGGCGGGTTTGGTGGTTATACCAAGGTGCTAGTCTCCTATGTTTTAATAATTTCCTTTTTATAGGAGCGATAGAGTCTAATGTTGATCGTAGTGAGCCTGTAGCACTATCGACAAGATTATCAATTTCAGAGGGACTAAAGTTGTTATAGGACTCTGTTAAATTCAGACATGGCATTGAATTAAACACTGAAGTAATCTCCTCCTTAAATTTAGCTACAGCACTGTCAGATAGACATCTGCTGTAGGAAGTTTTGCCTAATGGCTTATAATCTAATAGTATGAATTCAAAAAGTTACTAAATAATGGTCAGATAGGAAAGGATTATGTGGGAAGACTATTAAATGTTCAATATCAATGCCATATGATAAAACAAGGGTCAAGAGTGTGATTAAAACAATGAGTTGGTTTATTTACACTCTGACAGAAGCCAATTGAGTCTATTAATGATATAAATGCATTACTAAGGCTGTCATTGTCAACATCCACATGAATATTAAAATCACCTACAATAATTACTTTATCGATTTAAGGACTAAGCTTGATAGAAACTCTGAAAATTCAGATATAAAGTCAGAGTACGGTCCAGGAGCCGCGGTAGACTATAACAAATAGAACTGGCTGCAGTGTTTTCCAGTTTGGGTGAAAAGGCTAAGAACAAGGCTTTCAAATGAATTATAATTTATTTAGTTTAGGTTTAGGTCCATTAAAACGCTCGAATCATATATGGCTGCTACTCCACCTCTCTCGGCCTGTGCCTCGGAATGTGAGTAGTAATATGACTGGGGGTGGATTCATTTAGGCTAACATACTCCTCGTGGGACAAACCAGGTCTCAGTAAGACAAAGTAAATCAATATCATAATCTGATATTAATTCATTCACTAAAACAGCTTTAGAGGACAGAGACCTGATATTTAACAACCCACATTTCATTCTCTTATTTTGTGCTACTGAGGTTGGTTTTAATTTTTATTAGATTTTTATGTTGAACTCCTCTTTTTTTTATTTCTTTAAATAGTTTAGGTGGTCGGGGGGACAGACACAGTCTCGATGGGGTTTGGTGGGTGACTGTTCTAAAGAAAGAGCAGAGGAGTGTGTAAGATTGGCAGCTCGCTTCCTGGTCCCCTAACTCTGGACTGTCAGGTTTAAGGATAAACTGTGCCATATTTCTAGATAAGAGAACGGCTCCATCCAAAGTGGGATGGATGCCGCTCTCCTAATCAGACAGGTTTTCCCCCAAAAGGCTTCCAGTTATCAATAAACCCACATCGTTTGCTGGGCACCACCTCGACAGCCAGCGGTGGAATGACGACATGCGGCTATACATGTCATCACTGGTCACATGGGGAGGGGGTCCAGAGAAAACTACGGTGTCCGACATTGTCTTAGCATAGTTACACACCGACTCCACATTAATCTTAGTGACCTCCGATTGGCGTAAACGGGTGTCAGTTACCGCCGACGTGGATAACAATCTTACTGTATTTACGTTCTATCTTTAGCCAGCAGTTTTAAAATTTGATTCAATGTCGCCCGCTCTGGCCCCAGGGATGACATTTAACTATGGCCACTGGCTACATGGCACTCGCGTTTCTGACTATGGAGCTGCCAATAACAAGAGTTGGTTCCTCAGCGGGTGTATCGCTGAGTGGGGAAAATGTATTAGAAACGTGAAGGGGTTGGTGGTGAACTGTGGGCTTCGCCGTTCTAGTCTTCCTTCGCTCAGTCACCCAGCCTCCCTGTCTTCCCGGCTGCTCGGGAACTACCGGGGGAACTACCGGAGGAGCTAGAGGAACTACCGGAGGACGCTACAGAAGCACCTGCGGTCGGACCGCACCGGCTACCGGGGGGCTGGCTAACTGAAGCGGCTAAAGATATCTCTGTAGTGCGGTGCCGTTCCTCTCTAACTCACTAAGCCTCGCCTCCAGCGCAGTAAATAAAAACTACATTTAATACAGGTACCATTAACTTTGAAGGAGGCAGAGGAATAACTGGACTCTGACACACTGAGCAGGACAGAGGAGAGGGAGAGGGAGAAGCCTTAGCTAACTGCTAATGCTAATGAAACTAGGGTGTATGAAAAACTTTGAGTAGTGAAGTCCCTAAAAGAGGGAGAAACTCAAGTGTTTAATAGAACTAGTCTACGTTTAAATGTTAAGCGGGGTAAATAACCGCGTAACGAGTAAAACTAATTTATATTTAGCGTTCACTGACAGAGCTACAGCACCAAACAGTGCATGAATAGAGCGGGAAGTAAACGGAAGTGAGTCAGTACGCTACCGTAGGACGTCCAATC